AGCCCTGGGTAAATCTATATATTACCTGTTGATTCAGTTATTTTACATTGTTATGCCTGTGGTGCGGATGGACGGGCGGGCGTACGGTTACGTGATTGCCAAAATTTCTCCGGTATGGGGCTACGCTCGCCTGCGTGGAGCTCCGTTATAATGCATTTTTACGGTAAAGGAACCTTGGAGTTCTAGTGTAGCTTCAGCTAATGCAATGCCTACCTTAGTTAGAAATTCCCAAGTAGTTTTGATAGTTTGCTGGATTTGTTCCGACGAAAGGACCTACAAGGAAATCATATTTTGTAAGACAAGTTTAATAAGTATAAAAGTAAAAAAAATTAAGTCATCACCATTTATAGGGAACCAACGTTCTTATTTGTAAACAGCAAATGGAAATTAAATAAGAGATAAAATCTTACCTGTTTTGTTCTATTCTTGAATCTGCTGCGGTGCGAAGTGAAGTGGAAGTTGTTTTACGATATGTGACGCTTTGACCGTTGTTGATTTTATCTCTTATTTAATTAATTTCCATTTGCAGTTTACAAATAAGAGCGTGGGTTCCCTATGTCACTACGATCTTTTTTTATCCAACATTGAGCTACATTGATTGGCCACGGTTTTTGAATTGGTTTTTCAAGCCTTTACATTATAAATTAGTCAACTGTATTTTCCCTCACAAAATAACAGGACTTGTACTAAGCTTACCAAAAGCAACACACAACCCTTCTACTAAGAATTAGTTAAAGCTATGGGATTTTCCCCTTCCTTCACTCATCGATTCAGTCGGTTTTTTTGGCTGTTATGAAGAAAGTGACAGGGGTCAAACAATAACAGCCAAAAACCCGACTAAATCGACGAATTCACACCAAAAAACACAGGAATACATCAAAGGTAAGTTTCCATTATTTATTTTATAGAAAAATAAGTAAGAATAATGATATTTAGCGTACGCAGACCTCAGCATTTTATTTCACATTCAAAGTCTCAACGGTCGCTTGTAACGCGACAGCGTGAGCTTGGGGCGCCTGTGGTTGGAACAACAAAAAGGTGGCAGCGATCGCTTGATAGAGGTGCAAGGGAGCTCAATGGAGGTCTAAGGTCCCATTCTTTACTACAGTTATTTCGGAGCATTGATTACTGGCCGCTTAATAGGTGGCCACTTAACGGAGGTTCAACTGTATACAGAGTGGGATGATAACCATGTATGCGTAATAAATCAGTGAAAGGGCTGAGAGGAAATCCTACATGATGTGTACTATCGCTGAAAAAGTCCCCTGTGTTCTGAAAGATCGACACGTACTTATTAAACAGAGACATACTTTGACAAAAGTTTAACCTTGGAGATTAAGAACCAAATACATTTCTAAGGTAAAGGAACCTTAGAGTTCTAGAGTAACTTCAGCTAATACAATGCTTACCTCGGTAATAAATTCCCACGTAGTCTTGATTCTTCGCTTGATTTGTCAAGACGAAATAGTCTACGAGGAAATCATATTTTGTACTTGTTACCTATTAAAGCAACAATCAACCCTCCTACCAAGCAAAGGTTGAACCTATGGGATTTTCCCTTCTTTAGCTTTCAGTTTCACTTTGATCAATTTACTTAAACTAAAGTGTCATAAGTGCCCGGGGGAGGGGGGTTACTCGACCAATATCTGGGTACAGGTGAGCCGCTGAGGGTTTGAAACCCTGACCATGCTTAGGACAAAACATTCCTAAAATACATACCCTGTTTAGGACAACAGGCTCAATTTTAGTACCCTGTCCAGACTCATTCAAATCATGCACACTGCTTAGGACAGACTTGCGCGAAATTGTATACCCTGTTTAGGAAAGAGAGGACGGAAACCATACCCTGTCCAGAGGCACATCCTCGTATAGGCCATATAAGGGGTACCCCCCCCCCCCCCCGGGCGTAGGGGCTCCCAGAAATAGCCCCCGAAATACACCCAAAAGCTCCAAACGGTGGGAAATTTCCCCCGGGGAGGGGGGTTTTGGCCTTCCTTTTTTTTCCCCAACCCCCCCGGGTACGCTTTTTGGTTTTTTACCTTTTAATAAGGCTTCCCCTTTT